GGGGACCTGGCGTAAGGAAGAGCGGCGGGGGAGGGAGGGACGCAGTGCGGTAGGGGAAGAGACGGTAGTAGGGAACCGACTCGTCAAAGGTGACGTCCTGGGACGCGAAGACACGGCGCGAGGTGGGGTGGTAGAACTGCCAGCCAGGCGCGTCAGGGGGAAAGCCAAGGAAGACGCAGGGAACAGCGCGAGAGGACAGCTTGTCCGCAGACAAGTCGCGGACAAACGCCCTAGATCCCCAGACCCGGAAACGCGACGCATCACCAACCTTCCCCGTCCACAGCAAAGCAGGGGAGGTCTCCGGCATGGAGACCCGGGGGTGAAGGTTGAGCTGATGCGCCGCGTACCGAACCGCAAACGGCCACAGAAAATGGGGAGCAGCCGCATGGATCATGGACGTACGAGCGACGTCCATGATCATGCCGATGCGGCGCTCAGCAATCCCATTCTGCTGCGGAGAGTCCGGAAGCGTGAAGGTCTGGCGGATGCCTCGTGCGCGACAGAAGGCCCGCAGAAGGTCAGAGGAGAACTCTCCGCCTCGGTCGGAGTGCAGACGCCGAACAGGAAAGTCGGAGCCGAAACTCTCCTGGAGCTGGAGACGAGCTGCGCGGATCCAGGCGATCAACACCTCAGTGACGTCACCCTTGCTGCGCAAGGGGAAGACTGCGGTGTAACGCGAGTAGTCGTCAACCACCAGCAGGAAGTAGCGCTCCTGACCCTGCCCACGGACGCGGGCTGGGCCCCACACGTCCATGTGAAGCGTCTGCAGCGGAGCCTCTGTCGGAGGAAACTCGGAGGAGTGAGGAGCAGCGCGCTGCCGCCCCTCGACGCAGGGAACGCAGGTGGGGGCAGGCCCCGGAGGAAGGGGAGGGAGGGACCGGGGGAGGCCAGAAACAAGAAGACGGGAAGCCATGCCTCGAAGACGAGGCAGGGAGGGGTGACCAAGGCGGTGGTGCCAAAGGAGAGTCCGGTGGGACAGGAGACGACACGAGTAGGGGGCAGACTCAGTACTAGACCTGGACGCCGCAGCAAACACCTGACCCGACGCTGCTACCTGAGCAGACTCAGTGACTGGAGGAGACTCAGTAGTCAGTGTGTACAGGCTCGACCCTGGCCGACGAGCAAACGTGGCCAAGTGTCGGCCCGTGTCCGCACAAGTGCAGTGGGTCACCCGCTGACGCGCAGGGGTGAACTGGTCAACTCCTGCATCCTGGAGGTCAGCACCCGCCACCAAGTTCGTAGAGAACGAGGGGAGGTAGAGACCCGACAGGGAGCCAGACGGGACCGCCGGACACGGTAGGACAGTGGAGTAGTGAGCAAGGACAGGACCCCCAGAGGGGTCCGCCAGGGAGACCGCAACAGGCCGACTGAGCGGTGTGAGAGTGGTGCAGTCTCGAAAGAAGGAGCGGGAAGCACCTGAGTCAAGGGTGAAGGTGTGGGTGTCCGGGGACGACGCAGCACCTGAGAGCGCAAACTCACCGGCACCTGGGGCGGCAGACGCACTGGCACCTAGAGCAGCAGCCTCACAAGTACCTAGTGCAGCAGCCTCTATGCCTGGGTCAGGCGGGAAACACCGGTAACAGTCACCCTCATCACTAATAGTCACAGCATACATGGCAGCAAGAATAGCATCAAAATCAAGATCATAGATCGCAACACCCGCCCTAGACAGCTCGCCCCAGCGAGGGATCTCAGTAGCGTCGGGGAACTGGTGGCGCCACGCGTCCGTCAGACGACCGAAGCAGCGCTGGGTGGGGTGCGCGCCCCCACACTGCTCACCCGCCCGGTCGCCGGTACGGAGAACGTAGGTACAGGGGCCAGCACCCCCGCCCCGCTGACGAGCAGCGTACCACTCACGAAGCTGCTGGGGGGAAGGGGTCTCACAGGTACAGCTGCTGCTGCTGCTGCTGCTGCTGGCGCGCACCACCACCGGAGCCACCCCTCTGCGCAGCGCCACCCCGACCAGCTCCACCGCCTCCGCCGCTACCTCCTCCAGGACCGCCACCTCCGCCACCTCCGCTCCCACCGCCACCGCCGCCTCCACCTCCAGTCCCGCCACCGACGCCCCCACCCCCGCCACCACCCCCACCGCCACCCCCACCCCCTCCACCACCTCCACCTCCGCCTCCACCGCCCCCGCCAGCTCCTCCAGCACCCTTGCCCCCCTTGCCCTTGCCAGGGCGGCGTCTCCCGCTAGGGGCAGACGCCGCAGCGACCGACTCAAGACCAACGAGGTCGGCCGCAGCAGCAGAGGCAACAGAGGGCAAGAGGGGAGAGGGGGAGCACCCCTCAAAGACAGGGGCACGAGGGTCACCACGAGAGGCTCCTACAGCGACTATGCTCTTCTCTGCCGCTAGAAGGCGCTCCTCGAGGAGGTCAACGGTGAGGGTGGTGGGGCAAACAGAGAGGAAGTGGTCCCTAACCGGGCGAAGGGTGTCAGGGAGCCGGGTGACTATGTAGTAGAGGGTGATGTACATGGGGGGGGGGGGGTTCTTGGCGCAGAACTCAGCAGGAAGCGCAGCGCGGTAGCGAGTGTCACTAGTGCGAAGGTGCGTAATGAGGTCAGCGACAGTGGGAAAAGCGGCGAGGTCAGGGAAAAGGTACGGCAGGATGAGGCGGCTAAGTGCAGCAGTGGCAGGGGAAGAGTAGCGTGCAACTACAGCGTCGTACAAGGTCTTAGCACTCTTGTACTGGCTAAAGTGCGCACGCTCAGCGGTCGGCAAGTGGCGGCGCACAGCAGCATCGCGCGTGGCCCACTGTGAGCGAACAGTGGGGTCAGCATCAGCAGCAGGGGCAGGAGAGGCACCAGAAGTGAGGTCAAAGAGGGAGAGACCGTCTGCCCTATCGCACTGTAGGAAGAGCTGCAGATCATCTATCCAGACCTCAAAGTCAACAGCTCGACCCTCAGCGTCAAAGGTGAGAACACTGGGGGTGGCCATGACAGCAGTGTGAGCAGTAGGCTAAGGGCAGTGCAGTGACAGAGGCGCTGCTCTTACCAGGCAGGCGAAAGAGACCAAGACTTGCCGGGAATGGTGGCTCGGCGGCTCGGCGGCTCGGCGGCAACGGCGGCTCGGCGGCTCGGCGGCTCGGCGGCTCGGTGGCTGGCGGCTCGGCGGCTCGGCGGCTCGGCGGCAACGGCGGCTCGGCGGCTCGGCAGCTCGGCGGCTCGGCGGCAACGGCGGCTCGGCGGCTCGGCGATCCGGCGGCTCGGCGGCTCGGTGGTAGGGCGGCGTCGGGGTCGCGAGGGGCGGCAGAGCCGCGGACAGGCGGCGGCGTGGTCGCAGGTGGCGGCGACGGGGCCGAAAGGGGGGCGGCGACGAGGCCGCAAAGGGTGGCGACGGAGGCCGGAGGAGGCGGCGACGAGGCCTGAAGGGGGGGCGGCGACGGGGCCGCAAGGGACGGCGACGGGGCCGCGACGGGGAGGGCGGCGACGGGGCCGCGACGGTCGGCGACGGGGCCGCGAAGGGGAGGGCGGCGACGGGGCCGTAGGAGGCGGCGACAGGGCCGTAAGGGGCGGCGACGGGTCCGCGGAAGGGCGGCGACAGGGGCCGCGAGGGCGGCGGGGCCGCAGAGGGCGGCGTCGGGGCCGCGACGGGCGGCGCCGGGGTCGCGTAAGGATGGCGACGGGGGGCCGCCAAGGGAGGCGACGGGGTCGCTAAGGGCGGCGACGGGGCCACTAAGGGTGGCGACGGGGCCGCTAAGGGCGGCTCACCGATCGCGACTCGGGCAGGGGCGACGCGCGCCCCGGGCAGGAAAAAAAAAATCGATATTAGTGGGCCCTAGGAAGAAGTTCCCACGAGGGAACCTGCTCTGATACCATGTGAAAAGAAGAACGAACGAGAATGAATGCATTGAGCAGCATGAGGAGTACAAGTACCAAACCCTAAAGTGTTGTACCCCATATGAGCTACCCCACTACCTACACAGACTATAGTATATAAGTTTGACCCACGAACGGAATATACCAGGGAAAATCGTCAAACATTATGCATGTTGTAGCTTTGTAGGCTACAGTGGGTTTAGCCTTAGGGGGTACAGAACTCTAGGGTTTCATATTTGTACTCCCATTGCTGTTAGTCACATCATTCTCGTTCTAAGTTTCACAAAAATCGCCGAGGAAATAAAACCTCCGCAAAACAAGACCCTGCTGGACCCGGACAACTCCAAAAAGGCCCTGTAAAAAGTAAGCACTCCTTAAAATTATCATACAAGGATGCTTTACTTGGGATAAACTCCCCTGGGTCTACGGCAGGGCCCAAAATTGGTTTAGGCCTACCCTTACAAATCAGGGTACCAGCCCCTCCTAGAACAGACCCCTAGGGTAGAATTTTCCGTACCCTGATTTCAGCAGGGTAACTCAGGCACTAGGCTGGTTTGAGCAGGGTAGTTTTGGGCCAACCCTGTTTTGGTTACCGTTTTGTGAGCTACGGTTTTAATAACAACAGATTTAAGTTATACACCCATAGTTCATTAACTCTACAAAAGTCAAACATTAACTACACACCTACTCAGTGCCACCCCCACTGCCTACATCTTCTACAAACTCAGTCTGTGAAGCTCTGGTGGGGTCGAAATCCCTGGTGGATCGCCTCATCTTCTCTCCACTAAAGATAGCGACCACTTCAAACCAGTCGACATCGTACCGCAGCAGGGAGCAACGCATCAGATGCTCCAAGCTAGTGTCGCCAAGGCTGCCACGTCCCCATGTCTTGATCAGATTCTGCTTCGAGAAGCCACGCTCGCATTCAACCGTGCTCAATGGCAGCACGGCCACTGACTGCCACATCCGCATGATGTTGGGGAAGGAGACACGCCATGCATCATCCCGCAGCATGTTCGTCAGCGCCTGGTGGAATTCCTCGTTGTTGTGCTGGGCGAACATTGTGGATGTAAACATCCACAGCTCCTGCTGGGCTCTCTTGTAGTCGAACCCTGTGGTGGGGCGGAGTGCGGGTGAAAGCTAAGCCGATGCTCGCAGACACGGGTAGGGGTGGGGGGCATTAGTCCAACAAGCCACAGTATGCAGGATGTGCAATTGTCAACCTCATGTCAAGCATGAAAGCGACAACAAACATCATAACATGTGCAAGCGCTACAGGAGGCTTACCTGGCAGCTTGTGGTGGTACAACTTGTGCAGCTGGCCGAGCCACTTTTTGAAGGTTTCCAGTCGCTTCGTGTCGTCGGACACGTACGAAGCTGTGCGAAACAGCTTCGAGCCTTCCAGCAGCTCCAGGTCGCGCATCCGCCACTCCAGCTCTTTGTCAATGGCGTGCACGTACTTGATCGACAGCTCGACGCACGCCGTGACATCGCCTTCCGTCTCGTGTCCTGGCAGCGGGCGCTCGTGCAGCGTGAACTCAAACGTGACGAGATTCCCGTCCCCGTCTACGCCCTCCGCCTTCATCTCGCGCTTGTCCTTTGTCCCGTGCCTCTGAATGAACTCGGGAAGCTGCATTTTGTCGCTGCTGCCGAAATGGTGTGCAGGGTCGCGGAGGGAATACCGCGTCTTCAGACGCATCCTTGTCTGCTGCACGATGTGCGCAACAAGGGTGACGTCCACCTGCACATGGGGATCTCAGCGAGTTAGTTAGTACACGTGATTGCAAGCGACAACAAAGACGCCAGCAACAAAGACGCTTACCTGGCGCTGCTGGAATCGCAGGTTAAGGCTGTTCAGTTCCCAAAGCACATCCGCAAGAAAGCGGATGAGCCAGTGGAACTTGAACGAGGTCACCACCTCGTACAGATCCGCCTTGTAATCCTTCATCACCACTATGGCCGCAGGTAGCACGTCTAGCAGGCGCTGAATCGCTTCACCGCGGGCGAGCCATCGTGTGTCGCTAATCCCCTGCGCCTCGAGATTCGTCTGGCAGAAGATCCGCTGCATCTCTTGAAACTTCGCGTAGTCTATGCTGCTGCGGCCGATGTGGTCAGCGAAGGCGCGCACGACATCGTCGATCATTAGCAGGTCAGGTACCTCTTCTGCAGCATCACTTGCAGCGAGTGCCTCCCTGTACATACAGGCAACACAATAGATTGACGGTCAGAGGCAGCACTTGGGAAACCAGCAGCACGGTGCACATAACAGTGATGCTTACCGGTGAGCGATACAGTGTGTTGAGGCCAGATGCGGAAAGCGCATGCGAAGACGTGTCACGACTCCACGGTTCTTGCCGACCATGACGCTGGCACCATCGGATGCGACGCTGGATATCTTCTGGAGGTCCACCCCGATACCTGTCAGATAGTGCACGACAGCGGATGTGAGCGAGGCACCGTCACAACGGTCAACAGTAATTAGTGTCAGGAACTCGGTAACCACCGTGGTGCGCTGGAAGAACGTGGCGTACAGAATGAGGTGTTTCCCATTCACACGGTCGGTTGACTCGTCGAGTTGAATCCCTATCCACGGGGATTCCAGAAGGTGCTGGCGCTGTGTCTCCTGGAGGTATGTTGAAAGGGCGCGCAGGTTCTCTTTGAAGCTGTAACTGCCAGGGGACAATAAAGGTGGTCAGATACCACAATAAAGAATAATAAACACGCCCGTATCACCAAATCAGACCACCACTCACTCTGTGTAGTACGCGCCATAGCCGCCAGCGGGAGGAAGGTCTGGTAGTCCCTCCTTCGCCAGAAACCAACAAAGCGGGACGAACATCGCGATGGGTGCGTCGGCCTTACAGACAAAGTGCGCGATGTGGAGGAGCCGAATGATGTGACGAGTGGAAGCATCCGTACCCTGCCAACGTATGATTGATGCCTGCTTCGCCTTCTCCGCCTCCGCCTTCTCCTGATTCTCCAACGCCTGCTTGTGTGCACGGGAGGATGTGTGAGTGCGAATGCTGCCGATCTGGAGATCCCGTGCACCCTCACCCCTCGGCCCGTACGCGGTGTGCACTTGTGGATCTCCATGCTTCACACAAATCGCACATTTCAAAGACGGACGACCGTTAGACATGCGGAGCAAACGTAACCACTTGAAGCTACCTGCCCACTGACCCTCAAACGTCTTCTTCACCGATTCATACTCAGCATCCGCCAGAGCGGTTGGTGGCATCGGATCGGCCGAAGGAGAAGGGCGCTTGTGGGATGTAGCGTTTCGGGGAGGAGGGGCGCCCCAGAGCGTCTGCTGCTTGTACGAAACTCCCACGCGCGGACGCTTGACGGGCGCGGTGCTGACCGTAGAAGGCGAAGCCGTAGGCGGCTTTGACGAGCCCTCGCCACCTCCGGGAGCTAAAACAATGTCCGGATGTGGCTCCCAAGCCGTGGGTAAGTCTGGCGGCTCGAACGGATATACCGTTCCTACCACACATTCTGGTGACGGCTCACAAGGCGGCGGCTGAACGATGGGCACGGCGTAGTTCTCGCTAAGGCGTGGTAAAACGCCCAGTACAGAGAGGCCGTTTCTCGCTCCATCAGGTGGATCGGGCTCTCCAGTGGGCATTGTGGAGCTGAAAATTTGGAATGGTTGAGAATGAGGGCCAAGCGAGAGACCCCCTCGTAGAGAACGAGCCTCTGGCTGCCTCTCCAGGGCCGTTTCTTCCACGCGGCGGGAAGGGGATGGCCTGCATGGCAGGTCTGCTGCTGCAAACTGTTGTTCAGGACAGCTTGAAGCTGTCCTTGACTGCAAAATCTGCTCTGTTGCCGGTGGGCGTGGCGACGGGTGGCAAGATTCGAGAATGCGTTGGCAGCCCTGCAGGAGAAACAAGAAAGGAGGCAACATGGCGAGTTGCCGATAGTTAAGGAAATTTTATTGCGCATGGTTACTAGTGACAACCGGTGTTGGTGGGGTTGTGGTACATTTTGTCACCACGCGGACTGTGGTCAGATTCGCGTTAGGAAAGTTTCGGTAAAAGGGTAGTGTACACCGAACCCTGATTCCGTCAGGCTAACCTTAAAACCAATCAGGGTGGAAAAAAACATGCTCTTTTAAGAGAAGGGTAACTAACTAGCATTCCTGATTTCGACAGGGTATTCCTGAAAAAACGGCCGGCCCCCAGGGTAATCAGGGCGTTTTACCTTGATATTTTGGGCACTATTGGGTCTACGGCCTTGGTGAAATTTGGAGAGAGGCTCCTAAAGAAAAATAATGTACCGGTACGACAACTGCAGCAGCTGCGCATGGGGAACCAACAACGGAGCGTGGAAGATCTGTCAAACTTATACACTATAGTCTGTGTAGGCTGTAGTGGGGTAGCTCATACGGGGTACAACATTCTAGGTTTTGATACTTGTACTCCTCATGCTGCTCAATGCAATCATTCTCGTTCCAACTTTCACATGGTATAGAGCAGGTTCCCTCGTGGGAACTGTTCCTAGGGCCCACCGTAAGATTTTTTTTTTCCTGCCCGGAGCGCGCTCCGCCCCTGCCCGAGTCGCGCTCCCCTCCCCTCGCTTCCCTTAGCGGCCCCGTCGCGCCGCGCTTCCGGCCCCGGCGCCGCCTCTGCTGGCCCCGGCGCCCCACCGTCGCGACCCCGCGGCCCCACCCTCGCGTCGCCCTGCGCGGCGTCGTTGCAGCCGCCCGCGACCCCGACGCCGCCCGTCGCGACCCCGTCGCCCTTCGCGCCGCCCGTGACCTCGTCGCCGCGGCCGCCCGCGACCCTACCGCTGCAGCCGCCCGCGACCCTGGCGTCGCAGCCGCCCGCGACCCTGCCGTCGCCGCCGCCCGCGACCCTGCTGTCGCAGCTGCCCGCGACCCTAACTTCGCTGCCGCCCGCGACCCTGCAGTCGCAGCCGCCTGCGACCTCGTCGCCGCGGCCGCCTGCCCTTCCGTCGCCGCAGCCGCGCGCGACCCCGGTCGTCGCAGCCGCCCGCGACAACCGTCGCCCCACCCGTGCGACCCCACCGCCGCCCTTTGCGGCCCCTTCGCCATACCTTCGCGGCCCCGCCGAGAAGCCGAGCCGCCAAACGCCGCCGCCGCCGAGCCGCCGAGCCGCCGAGCCGCCGAGCCGCCGTTGCCGCCGAGTTGCAGAGCCGCCGAGCCGCCACTGCCGCCGTGCTGCCGAGCCGCCGAGACGCCGCTGCCGCCGAGCTGCCGAGCCGCTGAGCCGCCGAGCCGCCGTTCCTGCCGTCACGGCCCTGTTCCTGCCGGCGCGCCTCGGTCCTTCTCGCCTGCCCGGTAAGAGCAGCGCCTCCACCACTGCTCTGCCCTAGCCTGCTGCTCTCACTGCTAGTCTACTGCTGTCATGGCTTCCCCCAGTGTCCTCACCTTTGACGCTGAGGGTCGGGCCATTGACTTTGACGTCTGGGTAGATGACCTGCAGCTTTTCCTACTGAGCGACAGAGCAGACGGCCTCTCCCTTTTTGACCTCACCTCTGGTGCCTCTCCTGCCCCTGCTGCTGATGCTGACCCCACTGTTCGCTCCCAGTGGGCCACACGCGATGCTGCTGCCCGCCTTGCTGTGCGCCGCCACTTGCCGACCGCTGAGCGTGCGCACTTTAGCCAGTACAAGAGTGCTAAGACCTTGTACGACGCTGTAGTTGCACGCTACTCTTCCCCTGCCACTGCTGCGCTTAGCCGCCTCATCCTACCGTACCTCTTCCCTGACCTCGCCGCTTTTCCCACTGTCGCTGACCTCATTACGCACCTTCGCACTAGTGACACTCGCTACCGCGCTGCGCTTCCTGCTGAGTTCTGCGCCAAGAACCCCCCCCCCATGTACATCACCCTCTACTACATAGTCACCCGGCTCCCTGACACCCTTCGCCCGGTCAGGGACCACTTCCTCTCTGTTTGCCCCACCACCCTCACCGTTGACCTCCTCGAGGAGCGCCTTCTAGCGGCAGAGAAGAGCATAGTCGCTGTAGGTGCCTCTCGTGGTGACCCTCGTACCCCTGTCTTTGAGGGGTGCTCCCCCTCTCCCCTCTTGCCCTCTGTTGCCTCTGCTGCTGCGGCCGACCTCGTTGGTCTTGAGTCGGTCGCTGCGGCGTCTGCCCCTAGCGGGAGACGCCGCCCTGGCAAGGGCAAGGGGGGCAAGGGTGCTGGAGGGGCTGGAGGGGGCGGTGGAGGCGGAGGTGGAGGTGGTGGAGGGGGTGGGGGTGGCGGTGGGGGTGGTGGCGGGGGTGGGGGCGTCGGTGGCGGGACTGGAGGTGGAGGTGGAGGCGGCGGTGGCGGTGGGAGCGGAGGTGGCGGAGGTGGCGGTAGTGGAGGAGGTAGCGGCGGAGGCGGCGGAGCTGGTCGGGGTGGCGCTGCGCAGAGGGGTGGCTCCGGTGGTGGTGCGCGCCAGCAGCAGCAGCAGCAGCGTACTCGTGAGACCCCTTCCCCCCAGCAGCTTCGTGAGTGGTACGCTGCTCGTCAGCGGGGCGGGGGTGCTGGCCCCTGCACCTACGTTCTCCGTACCGGCGACCGGGCGGGTGAGCAGTGTGGGGGCGCGCACCCCACCCAGCGCTGCTTCGGTCGTCTGACAGACGCGTGGCGCCACCAGTTCCCCGACGCTACTGAGATCCCTCGCTGGGGCGAGCTGTCTAGGGCGGGTGTTGCAATCTATGATCTTGATTTTGATGCTATTCTTGCTGCCATGTATGCTGTGACTATTAGTGATGAGGGTGACTGTTACCGGTGTTTTCCGCCTGACCCAGGCATAGAGGCTGCTGCGCTAGGTACTTGTGAGGCTGCTGCTCTAGGTGCCAGTGCGTCTGCTGCCCCAGGTGCCGGTGAGTTTGCGCTCTCAGGTGCTGCGTCGTCCCCGGACACCCACACCTTCACCCTTGACTCGGGTGCTTCCCGCTCCTTCTTTCGAGACTGCACCACTCTCACACCGCTCAGTCGGCCTGTTGCGGTCTCCCTGGCAGACCCCTCTGGGGGTCCTGTCCTTGCTCACTACTCCACTGTCCTACCGTGTCCGGCGGTCCCGTCTGGCTCCCTGTCGGGTCTCTACCTCCCCTCGTTCTCTACGAACTTGGTGGCGGGTGCTGACCTCCAGGATGCAGGAGTTGACCAGTTCACCCCTGCGCGTCAGCGGGTGACCCACTGCACTTGTGCGGACACGGGCCGCCACTTGGCCACGTTTGCTCGTCGGCCAGGGTCGAGCCTGTACACACTGACTACTGAGTCTCCTCCAGTCACTGAGTCTGCTCAGGTAGCCGCGTCGGGTCAGGTGTTTGCTGCGGCGTCCAGGTCTGGTCCTGAGTCTGCCCCCTGCTCGTGTCGTCTCCTGTCTCACCGGACTCTCCTCTGGCACCACCGTCTTGGTCACCCCTCCCTGCCTCGCCTTCGAGGCATGGCTTCCCGTCTTCTTGTTTCTGGTCTCCCCCGGTCCCTCCCTCCCCTTCCTCCGGGGCCTGCCCCCACCTGCGTTCCCTGCGTCGAGGGGCGGCAGCGCGCTGCTCCTCACTCCTCCGAGTTTCCTCCGACAGAGGCTCCGCTGCAGACGCTTCACATGGACGTGTGGGGCCCAGCCCGCGTCCGTGGGCAGGGTCAGGAGCGCTACTTCCTGCTGGTGGTTGACGACTACTCGCGTTACACCGCAGTCTTCCCCTTGCGCAGCAAGGGTGACGTCACTGAGGTGTTGATCGCCTGGATCCGCGCGGCTCGTCTCCAGCTCCAGGAGAGTTTCGGCTCCGACTTTCCTGTTCGGCGTCTGCACTCCGACCGAGGCGGAGAGTTCTCCTCTGACCTTCTGCGGACCTTCTGTCGCGCACGAGGCATCCGCCAGACCTTCACGCTTCCGGACTCTCCGCAGCAGAATGGGATTGCTGAGCGCCGCATCGGCATGGTCATGGACGTCGCTCGTACGTCCATGATCCATGCGGCTGCTCCCCATTTTCTGTGGCCGTTTGCGGTTCGGTACGCGGCGCATCAGCTCAACCTTCACCCCCGGGTCTCCATGCCGGAGACCTCCCCTGCTTTGCTGTGGACGGGGAAGGTTGGTGATGCGTCGCGTTTCCGGGTCTGGGGATCTAGGGCGTTTGTCCGCGACTTGTCTGCGGACAAGCTGTCCTCTCGTGCTGTTCCCTGCGTCTTCCTTGGCTTTCCCCCTGACGCGCCAGGCTGGCAGTTCTACCACCCCACCTCGCGCCGTGTCTTCGCGTCCCAGGACGTCACCTTTGACGAGTCGG